GCAAATTGGGGCTTCTGGTCAAATTGTACTAATTTGGTCAAATTGGATCAAATTGATGATAAAAATTTGAAATTGGGAATATTTTGAAATTGGGAATATTGGGAATATTTGGGATGACTTTGAAATTTTTGGGAATTTTTTGAATTTTTGGAGTTTTTAGGTCATGAAGGACATTTTGGTAATTTTGGCAATTTTTTGGATATTTTGGAAATTTGAAACTTTTGGTGAATTTTGGTCAATTTGGGTAGTGCTGAGGATTTTGAAATTGTTTTGTTTGAAAGATTTGGGCATTTTGGGCAATTTTGGAAAAAATTAGGGTTGTAAGGTTGTTTTGATAATTTTGGAAATTTTGGGCTGAAATGGGCCAACAAATCATGAAGTCATGCCAAATAGATAGAAGGCATGTGAGGACTCATTTTGGATGCTCAATATGCTAGTTATAACCCTCTTAGCCAAAGACTAGGGGTACAGGGTCATTCATATGAGCTTTCCAACAGTAGTCAGGAAACCAACTTAAGGGGTCATAGGGTTTAGGTATGTGAAAAAAGTGTAGTGTGTGCAAGTTAGCCCGACTAAAACCACATCACCTAGGGTTAGTCCTAAGGTCTGACCATCCTATGGGGGACTCCCCTTGAGCTCCTCCATATTGACCCTACCTACTAAGTGCTAGAGGTTAGGACCAACATGTGGAACTTCAAGTTGAGTAAAGAAGAGTTTGAAATTTCTAATGGTGAGGGATCTTTTTCTAGTTCTCTAGGAATAGTCAAAAAGAAAGTTCTATGACTAGACCCTAGGCTACTAAAGAGGAAAAACTAGACTTCAACCAAAAATGAGGTCAACATATTGAAAGGAAAATTTTATCAGATTGTATTGAGATCTGCAATGCTCTATGACACATAATGTTGGTCATTAAAAGAGAAGCATAAAATTAATTTAATTGTTGTCGATATTAGAATGTTTAGGTGGATGAGTGGCCTTACACTTAGAAATAAAGTTTGAAATGAATCTATTCGTGAAAAGGTTAGTGTGTTAGAATGATACTTCAACGGGTGAACAAATTATTCATAGATACATTAAATTTAGTTGAAGATGATGAAACGAGGAGGGAGATTGAGAATGACTTCTCCCAATGGTTTACAATACATGTGAGTTAAAATTGACATATTCATTCCTCATGTGACACGAGGCTTTTTATTAATACATGATTACTTATTTATATATTAATAGATTTATGATTGGATAAATGAAGTGAGAGAACATGGGTTGATAGATCTTACTTGGGGACCTATGCGTATCATTAAAATCTGGCAAATTCATGATGTTAATTGGTACAGGTTTCATACAAGAACTTGAACTAAAGGAAAAAAAAAACTCTTTTAATTTTGATGTTTGTGTTAAAGCAAACGACAACTTGTACGACAAGATAGACAATCACATAGGATTCTGAAAGAAGTTGTTGAACTATCTTATCCAGACACTATTAGAGGAAGTGCATTTCAATTGAATAATACTTTATTCGATCTTGTTCCTAATCATGGAACACGGGTAAACTAACTATATAATATCACATAAGTGAAAGTGAATAGAAGATATCTTAAATTTGATTCTTTCATTCTAGCCTGATAGGCAAGTCAGATTTATTATCTTCGATATCCACATAGAGCAACAAATAAGGTTGATTACGGAGTTGTCATTTTGAGTAAATCAATAACCATTATTAATATTCAGAATAACATTGAACCAACCCATCAAGAAATTGAAATAATAGGCTTCTATTTTCCACTTGATCCAATCGATGAAGAGCTCAATATAGAGGTTGCTAGTGGCAAATATAAGGAAATTAATCTCATTGATCAGTATAATTTGGTGGTTGTTATTTCCCACAGTTACGCCCACCCTCACCCTGTGCCCTGCCCCCACCCCTACCTCCACTCAGATAGTAGTGGGTTTGAGTGCATCAGACGCCCATCCTTCCTCGATTAGGCAGGAGTTGACAAACAGCAGCTACCACATCGAGTCTGTCAGCAACACGTAAGCTTTTTTTAAGATATTGATAGTGAACATTCAATTTTTTTCAATTTAATATAAAACTAACAAATTTTTGGTTTAAGGTTTTACCCCTCGACCCAGACTATTCATGTCATTTAAGATATCATTTAGAACAAGTATGACTCAACATACTTATCGTGGATGGAGATCTCGATGGCCATCCGAGACATTTGATTTTAGGAGTTTGGGGTAGTTATGTTCACAAATAACTTAAGTTTTCTTTATTTCTAAATCAAACATTATCCCTATAATATTTACTGAAATAATTTTTATGCCGCCCTGAGCACGAGGAGCACATCTGATGCAACTTTAAGTGGAAGGGAAATAATCGCATATGGGACATGTTTGGTGATATAAGAAAATATAGACAGTGTTTTATGTGGCTCAGAGAGGATGCTTTTGCCGCGCTACTTAAGGCATGAGATTCTCCGAACTACCAGAACAAGAGGAAACATGCAAAGCAGAGTAGAAGATAAGACTATGGAGGCATGAGGCTCTTTAAGCACACTGGTGGGATGCTTCTACATACAGAATACAATTAGAGACTGGTAAGATTTTATTATTCAATAAGGTTTTCTATAGTAGGAAGATGTATTCCAACTATTTCATTTTATGAACAAATTGTGGATATTGGATGAAAGCCCTCCGTCGCCGATGTAAATGAGCACACCCATAGGAGGCGATCCAACCAGTTATGGATCAACGACAGATTTCGTGCGACTCAGGTAATTGATGAGCTAAACTAGTTTGATGTTAATACATGTTAGCTCTAACTGAATGTAACTGCTTTCATTTGCAGGAGAGATTACGACAGTTGAAGGAGAGTTGGCCCCATGCATCTGGAGTTATTACGATCTGCTAGCGTGATACTAGAAGTACGACATGTGGAGGAAGGCTGCTGGATGGAAGAAGAAAGGTTGAGTCTACGGGCTCAGATCGCACGGACTTGCCTACGATGCTCATCCCCCCGCCTGGCCCACACCAGTGCATATACAACTTTTACCTCTAACGCACAGGATGAGATCTCTAAGCGTGTTGTGACATTCTATGCTGAGATGGAGGTTTGCTTCTCTCAAATGAGGTCGATGCTGAAGGCCAACATGGAGGCCAAGTTGAAGAATAACTTGGTTTCCTTCCAGCAATAGATGAGAGAGCGTAGTAAGGTAGCGGCAGAATTGGAGGAGGAAGTGGTGAAGGATGATGAGGATGAGATTGATGACATAGAGGAAGATAATTGGAAGGGGTATTTTTTTTAATGTGTATGATATACGTAGCGGCAGAATTGGAGGAGGAAGTGGCGAAGGATGATGAGGATGAGATTGATGAGATAGAGGAAGATGATTGGAAGGGGTATTTTTTTTAATGTGTATGATATATTTTAATTTAAAGTAAATACATTTTTTATTTCATTATTTGATTGGATAAATTATTTTTTGACAGCTATGTTATTTCATTAAATATTTATAATTGTATATTAAATATTGTGATATTAGGTGTGGTAATATGCATTTTTTCTGTGAACGGTGACGTACATAATTTAAAATAAATTCTTTTTTTTTTAATTGAAAACAACAACATGCTATTATTGGATGTCATCAGTGAAGCAATTAAATATTCCTCATGATTTTTTTTTCTACTTAAAGTACTAGGTGAGCTACTCTTAATTTACCCATGTATATTCAGTTCCTTCTTGCAACTCTAATATACAAACTTGAACTATGAACACTACTAGTAATCTATCCATGTACATTACATTTAGACTATATTGAACATTTCTGTGAGCTCTAACTTAATTGGCAGTGATCTTTGATGTTATTTTGAGCACCATGAATTGAATTTCATTTGCATATCTGCACTTCAAATTCCTGTAAACTAATAATAATAATAATAGTAGTTAACAGTTATATAATTACCACAAGTACACACACCCTAAGAGAGTAATGTGCCTTCATTGGCAAGGAAACTCAAATGCCAAACTTACGAATGTGAGGAACAGTCTTTTTCTCAGCATTTAATGACCTGTCGGCGATAAATGTGAAAACGGATTCCGACGCGCAGCAGCTGACGATGAGTTTTCCATTTCCAAGCGCGCATTCGTGGCAGAGTTGAAGCCAACATTTTCTTCATAATTAGCTCAATCATCTTCTCTACTAATAAAATCATTCCTCCTCTAAATCTTCCCCATGAAAAAATAGTAAACGTAAGAAAAGAGAAGACAGAAGCGTAAGACATAAAAAAATGCATGATAAAAGCGAATCCAAACAGTAGAAACCCCTACTTCTAACATCCGTACAGTCCCTCTCCCTCTCCCCCTCCCTCTCCCTCTCGCTTCTCCCTCTCTCTCTCTCTGTGAGATGCTCAGGGCGACAATTATGCCTATTCATGCAAGCAAAACCCCTCCCTCTCCCTCTCTCTCTCTCTCTGTGAGATGCTCAGGGCGACAATTATGCCTATTCATGCAAGCAAAACCCATCATCACACGTGTTTCCGAATCACTGCAACGTTTCTCCAGTTTTCAGAAGTTGTGAGAGGAAGAGTAATATAGGAAGATTAGAAAAAATAATACCTCAGAATTTCGATTGTAGAGTTATAATTTATAAATATTTCGTTATGTTATAGAAATATTTCATCAGTGTTATTTATAGAAAATGAAGTGTTATTTAAATATTCGTCCGCGTTATTTGATTTGAGGTTGTGATATTCCAATAATATAGTGGAAATTAAAATAAAACAGGGAATATGTCAAAAAATACAGCCTCAAATCAAGTAAGACGGGGAAATATTCGAATAACACCGTAGAGTAATTGAATAACAAAAATGAAGTGTTATTTAAATATTCGCCCGCGTTATTTGATTTGAGGTTGTGATATTTCAATAACATAATGGAAATTAAAATAAAACAGGGAATATGTCGAAAAATACAGCCTCAAATCAAGCAAGACGGGAAAATATTCGAATAACACCGTAGAGTAATTGAATAACATCAAGCCATACTTGAATAACACTTCATTTTTTACAAATAACATTGATGAAATATTCTTATAACACAGCAGAATATTACAATAACATAATTATTATTGGAATCCGAACAAATCTCTATGTTTGAAGTCATGACGTAACATGCACTCAGGAAAATTAATTGTAGTTTACTAGTAAGAGCTTTCTCCTTTATATACTTATATGATTATATAAAGAGAGAGCGAAAGTTCAAATGAAGGAGATAACTAAAAAAAGTATCCCGGCTCATAAAGAGCCATAGAGTTCATTTGTTATGGAGAAGTAAATGAGCTTCCTTGGGAGCATCTTCCCTTGGAAAACGTTGAGGCCGAAATATATCATTTACTTCCATCGTCATAAAAATGGCTGTGCTGAAAGATACTGGTTCAAATCAACGTACGGGGATTGCAGAAGAGGCCATGGATCGGTCAACACGTAATTAATCGAGTGAGAGGCTCGTTTGAATGAATTAAGTTTTGGTGATTAAGAATCACAAAAAACATTAGATTAAAAATTAAAAAAAAAAAAAGGTCTGCCAACATATAATAAAATACATAGTAACTTGAGCATGACACATAATAATTGTGAGGTACGAGTAGCCATTTTCTCCCGTGAATACCTCTTGGTTGATTTGTTATTGCTGTCCCTGCATAAAAAAATAGAACTGGTACCCAAGATAAAAACAAAGTCCTGGGAGAGCATCTTCTAGAGATGTGCACTTACTATTTTTTTACCTTTTTTTTTTTCATGGAAGGATGACGATCTTCATAAGTTAAGGAATTCAGTACTCCAGATGGCTAAAATTTTCAAACTTTAGTTAAAGCATGCGCTGATATCAAGACCTGTGAATTTCTTTTCATAAAAAATTAAGGAATTAAATTCCTACATTTCTTATTCTGTAAGAGTTGGAAAATCTTCAGGAAATTAAGAGAGAAGAGAGCTAAGGAAGACAATAAGAGCTATTCCAACTATTGCCATGTGCAAAAACTGTTTTTTCGATGTGTAGTCATTTCCAAATAGAAGCAGAAGCTAGAAAGAACAAAAAAGGAAGAAAATTGCTTTAAATTTAAAATAATAAAATTCGAAGGACTTTAATCATTATTTGATCTGTAGGCATTCTGATGATTGCATAAAGATGCTACCTTTATGATATCTATGGATGGATCTAATCAAATTCATATCTTAAGATCACATAGGAGACAAATCAAAAATCTATCCAGTCCTCCTCTATTACCTTTCATCCAGTTTCCACTCTCAGTATTCATGAAAAACAAATGTTAAGAAAAATAGAACTGGCTAAGTAAGGAAAAAACCTACAGATCAATGTTTGCAAAACATGAACAACCTTGATCTGAACCTGTAGCCAACTTTAAAGATGTTAGTAAATGGCAAACAAATCAACTGTAAGAAAAAAAAACTTTAAAATGGAAGAAGAGAGAGAGAAAGAAGCAAGCGAGAAATAGAAATGAAACAAGTAATAAAGATGGAAATCATGTCCAAAAGGTCAAAAAGAGACGCAATCAGTGAAACTTTTACAAGACAATAATGAAAACCTTTATCCCTGCCGACAGGGAGGCAAAGATAAAAAACAAAAATGTCAAAAAAGCAAAAAAAAAAAAAAAAAACAGATATAAAAAGTCTAAGCCATCCATAGTCAAACCATGATATGATTACATCAATCTGCACTCTTTTTTCTCTCTCCCTCCCATTCATAAGAAAATTTTCTTCTCAATCAAAAAAAAGGGAAAAAAAATCAAAGATCTGAAGGAGAAGAGAAATACAGACCTCATGAGAGTTTATGGCATGGAGAGGGAAGCAGTGATTGGGGGGAATGAAGCCTGGTCCGAGACTTCACATCCGAAGCTCTCTTAGAACTCCATCATGGAAAAAGAAGAGAGAGAAAGTGAGATTCCACCGAAGGCCTCGAGCCAGACAACATTCCCCTCAAAAAGAAAGCTTCCATTTTTACTGATTTGCAACGGCAGCAAAAACGCCCACCTTAGTTTTTTCATTCTATCTCGCCCATGACACCATGATTCTCTCAGGCCCAGGTTGGGGCGGAGATAAAGAGGCGGTGTAGAGGTTATGATGACCTAAATGATTACACTGAACAGAGAGAAACAGGACAGGGGAGTAAAAGCCCAACCAATCTCCAACAGTTAAAAAAATGAGAAATTGAGGGAAGTGAGGGAAGGTGGAGTAAATGGAGTGGGTCAGCAGCAGAGGAGTCGTCGGCAGGAGCAATAAAGAAGAGAGAGAGAGAGGAGAAAAAGACGGAGTAAAAGACAAAGCCAAGCTGCAGGTTCCGGTCCCCACCCTCACTCTCTCTCTCTAAAGTTCACACTTTTACAGAAATGACCACGACCGCTGTCATGAATTGCACGACTCTCTCTCTCTCTCTCTAACTGCTACCTCACCACGTGATGCTCCATTCCATCTCCCTTTCTCTCTCCTCAGAGTTTCTCGCCATCTCCCCCCTTCTCCCCGCCCCTCATTTGGACATAATTACTGCCGTCAGCCCCGGGGAACCTGAGGCCAAACGTAGGCCGTCCGATTGCATCTCGACGGTTGAGATCAGTCCTGAACAGAACCGAGAAAAACCCTAGAGAGATCGAGCAAGCGAAGGTGTAATATAATAATACAAAGTAAATATAATATAAATCAATCTCTGGACGCTTTAGTTTCAATCGAACAGGTCGATTCAGTTATTTGGGCAGTTATTGTATCTAATCCTTCTCTTTTCTGTAGTCATATTTTTTACACCCTTTTCTCTTTTCTCTCCTCTCAATTCTAGCTCTTAGGGTGTGTATTCCGAAGGATAAGTTAGTATCCAACATTCTAAAAGTGATGCGGTGAGCGTGGACATGTCACAAAGAAGAAGCGAGTCACACTACGAAAGAGAATCACAACAAAGAGATGCAACATCCATGGAGCTTACAAGAGAGCCAGAATATCGAGAAATTCATAGCAAGTCTAGAAGTTGCGGGAGTAAATAATGGGTCAATTTGAAGTATTTCGAGAAGCAATAATTTGAAGTAATGTTGAACCACAGCTTCTAGAGGTGGTATCTCAGAGTCGTCGCTTTCATAGAGTTCTCATCGAGAATCCGCCAACACCCAACAGTCAAGTGAGCAATCTATAGACCAAAGGGCAAGGAAGTTCTCAAAATGTTGGCGATACTGAGCCTGTGCGGATTGTCAGGCATCATGTAGGGCTAGTCAATGGACCTATCCAACTACCCCCATATGGTGCTTTCACTTGACAGATCATGAAGGTTGTACCACCTACGAAGTTAAGGGTCCTCATTTGGATCCTTACAAGAGGAAGAACGATCTAGCCTATCATGAGACTTCTTTTGAATAATCAGTCAGAGAGTTGCAGATCAACGACGCGATGAAGTGTCATCTTTTCTTTACAAAACTTAAGGAATTTGCTCTTTTGGTGATTTTTTTGTCTGCAGGTTGGTGTCATTCCAACTTTCGTTGAGTTTAAGAAATTCTTTATGGCACACTTCGCTAATGTATAGATGTCGACGAAGAAGTCTCAGGCTCTGCTTTAAGTAAAGGGAGAACAAAAGCCTGTGTGCCTATATCACTTGATTTCAAAAGGAAATGCTAGAGGTGAAGGATTTGCATCCTTTGATTGCTCACACTGCTCTGACGCAAGGATTTAGAGATGGGTGATTCAAATATGGCTTGAACATGCTCAAACCAAGGACTTTCCCTGAACTGTAGGAGACAACCAACAGTCACATTATTGCCGAGGATGCTCTTACTAGCCCCTTTAGTGACAAACTAGAATCATCCATCCATCGATCTAAGAAGAGGAAAGCATAGGTCGAAGGAAATAAGATGAAGGACAACCAAATCGTTGTTGGTTGATCGCAGTATAACAACAACCAATAGCCTCGGGATAACCAAGGAAATAATAAGAGCAATCAAGGTCAAAATCAAAATTTTGACCAACAACCATCTCAATACTACAACCGATCGCACGTGTATCATGAGATGTAGGGCTTAACTCCACTAAGTGTTTCAATGGTTGAGTTAGTTGAAGCCATATAAAATAAGGAGTACATCTGGACCCCTCCAATAAAAGTCAAGCTTGCATTCCAGAATTCACATAAATATTCTGATTACCATCGTGACCATAGGCACGACACAGAGGAGTGTCGCAACCTCTGGAACTTGGTGGAGAAATTAACTGAGGTAGGGAAGCTCAAAAAGTTTGTTAATGTTGGAGGACATACACGTCGATAGAGAAGGCCCAAGCTGAGGAGCCATCTGATAGACCTGTCAGTGTGAATGAAGTTCATATTGCCAGAATTATTCTAACTATCTTCGAGGGAGGTGGAGAGTCATATCGTCGATCCAGCTAGAAGAGGCAATGATCAAGAGAGGTATGTTATATCACTTATCATGAGCATAACCATCCTTCCATTGTTTTCACAGATACATATTTTTGTTGAAACAAAACCCATATAATGACTTGATTGTCATTACTATAGTGATGAACAACTATCAGGTCGTTAGTATTCTAGTAAATACTGGAAGTTTAGTGAACTTTCATTTTAAAATAGTATTTGACAAGATTGGGCTCAAAGTCGATCGGTTGACGGCACCAGACAGTCCATTATTTGGTTTCTCTGGCAAGAGGAAGGAGGCTTTAAGTGTTATTGCGCTACGCGTCTCGAGGGGTGAGCGAGAGAAATAATTCTCGAACATAAAGGAATTTTTGGTGGTGGAGTCCCCACCAACTTATAACACTATTTTTAGCCGATCATTGTTGAATAATTACCAAGAGGTAACTTCAACCTATCACATGTTAGTAAAGTTTCCTAGCGATGGAGAGAATGTCAGGATCTGAGGGAACTTGGAGCAGTCAAGGAGCTGCTACTTTTGAGTGGTCACCAGTGTCCATCACGAGCCACTTGACATTCATATTCAAAGAGAAAGGGTTCTCAAGACCAATGAGACCATCCTCGAGTATCTGCGTATGGCGATGAAGAACATTTTAGGGTTGTCTTAATCATTGAAAGCTTTGATGGAAGGTATAAAAATCTACTCATATAGACCCTTCACGAGCATCAAGAAGTCTTTGTTTAGACAGAGGCGGAGATGCCTATAATTTCAATAGATATTTGTCATCAATTGAACATCAGCCTAGCAGCTTGACCGGTGCAATAGAAGTTTTGTTCAACCGCTAGAACTTAGGCTGAACCAATAGCAGCGAAGGTGCAAAAGTTAAAGAAGGTTGCCTATATCCAAGAGCTCTAGTACCCGACCTTGCTCTCGAACATAGTGATGGCCTGGAAGGATAACGATAAGTGGAGAATGTGCATTGACTTCACAAACTTTATTATTGCTTGCTCAAAGGACACTTACCCATTGCTCAATATCGACACACTGGTGGATGCAGCAGTTATGTACTCTATAATGAGTTTTCCTGATGCTTTCTCTAGCTATCACTAGATCAAGACGTATCAAGTCAATGTGGTGATTTAAGAGGTGCTCTCAGTTTTGATGTAATGCACTTTGGGCTCAGAAATGCTGAGGTGACTGGTCAGTGCCTCATGGTTGTAATTTTCACAAATCAGAAAGGGAAAAATTTTGAAGTGTATGTTGATGATGTCCTTATTAAATGCAAATTAATGAAACAATGGGTAGAAGTTTTAAAAAGACATTTGAAAAACAAAAAAAAAATAATATGAAGTTAAATGCTTCAAAAAGCACTTTTGGAGCATCGATCAAAAAATTCTTAGGCTTTTAGTTAACATCCGAAGGAATAAAAGAAAGCAATTTTGGATATGACATCCCATTAAAGCACCAAAGAAGTCAAAAAAATTATTGATCGAATAGCAGGGTTCAATATATTTATCTCAATGTCGTGTGACAAATGTGCAACATTTCTTAAGGGCACGAAGGAAAAATCAACATTTAATTATTGATCGAATAGCAGGGTTCAATATATTTATCTCAATGTCGTGTGACAAATGTGCAACATTTCTTAAGGGCACGAAGGAAAAATCAACATTTTGAGTGGACACCTGAATATGAAGAGGCGTTCAAGAATTTGAAAAATTATTTGGTGTCACCACCATTACTTCAAAATCTAAAGCTAACAGAGGAACTATCATTGTACCTCGGAGTCTAGCAAGAAGTTGTTAGTTCAACACTGTTCAAAGAAGATGTAGGGAGACAATTTCCAATTTATTATACCATCCATGTACTTAAGGATGTTGAAATCAAGTACTTAATAATGGAAAAGCTAAAGTTTTTTTAGGTTATTTCCACTTGTAGGTTTTGATCATATTTTCAAATGCATCTGATTGGGTTCATTATCGATCATTTGTTAAATTTTGTACTCACACGACTTGAGCATTCCAGTCAATTATTGAAGTTTGTGGGGGAGCTCAGTGAGTACAATATCACTTACGTCCCTCAAAAAACCACTAATGCTTAAGTGATCACTAATTTCTTGGTGGATTTTTCTGATATGGAGGAATTGAGGGAGGGAAATCCCATCAAATATCGAACATGGAACTTGTACATTGACACAACTTCTAAAAGGATGACCGCTAGGCTAGGACTAGCCCTGAGCAGTCTAGCTGGAGAATTTCTTTATCAATTGATTTCGATGGAGTTTGTGTTGGCCTCACTTTTGTGAGGACCCCACTTTGCTCATGACCTTAGAATAGGGCTACAAAATTTTAGACCCCATCAGAACAATCCAAAGATCTTCAATCTTTTGGTTAACATGATTTAGGGATTTGACTAAGTGGGCAATCTAAGTTAACCCCCATAAGAAAAGTATGCCCTAAGTCATCCCAAACCCTAGAAACCTGTCTATGGACCTCAGGGAATACCACTAATCACTAATGTCATTTTGGGGAAGGGAACTAACAATATTGATCCTTGACCTCACCAGAGGTCTCCCAACCCTAAAATCAGACCAAAACCCTAATGTGTCTCTTTTGATCTCAAAATTTGGTGACACCTTAGAAAGATCAAACTAATGATGGCAGCCTATAATTTGGAGCAAGTTTGACCAAATTATTCATTTTACCCCCCACATTGATTATATGGTCAACCCAGGACCACATGGTCAACACATTGACCATAGGCTCAACCCATGAACCTTATCGCCAACTCAACCATTATGTGGCTAATTTCCATGTTTTCCTTTTTTTAATTAAATAATTAATCAATCCCTTAATTATTAATTAAAATAAAGGAATGTCATGATGGGCCTACTCCAAGCCCAACCATAAGTCAATTCTCTAAGCCCATCTATGGTCCAAAGCCCATTCTTAATGGGTTACCCATGACCTAAAGATTACCTACCATGACATGGTCAACCTATTAACCTTATTCAAACCCAAAATTAGCCTTTGAGAAGTTATATGGTGGGCTCACTAAGAGTGAGG